GTTAACTGTAGGTTTTTTCATAAATCTCTTTATCATATTGAAGAAGCTCCCCTTTATCACTTGTCTGTTATCATGAAATAATGTTGGATTTTGTCAAATGCCTTTTCTCTGTCCATTGAGATGATCATGTGATTCTTTTCCTTTGTTTCATTAATGTGGTTTATTATACTAATTAACTCTTTTAATGGTGAACCATCCTTGAACTCCTGAAATAAATCCCAATGATGTATAATCCTCTTAATAGGGATTCAGTTTGCTATTTCATTGAGAGCTTTTATATCTATACTCATAAGGGATAATGTTCTTGTAGTTTGTTTTTTCTTGTGATGACTTTGTCTGGCTTTGGTGTCAAGATAATGCTGGTCTCATAGAATGAGTTAAGAAGTGTTCCCTCCTATTTTATTTTTGGAAGAGTTTAAGAATGATTATTGTCAATTTTTAAAATGTTTGGTGGAATTCCCATTAATGCACCTGGCCCAGGAATTTATTTTTTTACAGGAGCTATGGTGGTGTAGTGCCTAAGGCACACTTGACTGCTAACCAGAAGGCTGGTGGTTCAAGCCCACAAGCCATTCTTCAGAAGGAAGACTGGGCAATCTACTTCCATAGAGATACTGCCTTGGGACCCCAAGGAGGGGTTGCTATGAGTCAGAATTGACTTGACAGCAGTGAGATTTATTTATTTTGGTAAGGAGGATTCTGATGACTGTTTCAATCTCTTCATTTGTCATGGGTCTGCCAAGTTTTTCTCTTTTTTCTTTAGTCAGTTTAGATAGTTCATGTTTCTAAGAATTTGTCCATTTCATTTTTATCTACATTATTGCTGTATAAGTCTTCATAGAATTCTTATGATCCTCTTTATTTCTGTAGGTTTAGCTGTAATGTCCTCATATTCATTCCTGATTTCCTTGATTCTATTACTTTTCTACTTTCTATTTCTTTATTTCCATCCTCATTTTTGTTATTTCCTTCCTTCTAGTAGCTTTGGGCTCACTATGCTCTTCTTTTTTCTAGTTTCTCAAGTTGTTCTGCTCTGTCTGTGAGATGAAGTCTCACTATTCTTGCTTCCAAGGAGCATTCTGGCTGTACTTCTTACAAGAGAGACTTGTTCATTCTTCTGGCGATACATTGTATATTTAATGTTCTTCACCAATAGGCATCAATTCTTCAGTCTTCTTTATTTACTGTCCAGCTTTTAATGCATAATAGGCAACTGAAAATACCATGGCTCAGGTCAAGTGCACCTCAGTCCTCAAAGAGACATCTCTGCTTTTTAATACTTTAAAGAGGTCTTTAAGGAGCTCTAGTGATATAGTGGGTAAGGCATTTGGCTGGTAACCAGAAGATCAGCTGTTCAAACCCATCAGCTGTTCCTCAGGAGGAAGATGAGGCAATCTACTTCCATAAAGATTTTTTTTTTTTTTAATTTTATTTTGATTTGGGTGAAGATTTACAGCGTAAATTCACTTTTCATACAGCAGTTCACATATACTTTGTCTCATGTCATTGACCAAAATTTACAATGCAACAGCT